AGTAGTTTGGCAGTTGGAGGCTCTAAACTGTCAAGTGTGGCGCTCAATGTTTTCCAGGAGTTCCAGTTTATGAATTTTTCTAAAATGTTTCTAGAATCCTCWYACGGCTGAATCTCTTGGGCAATCAACATTGACGTTTCGGCCACAAAACGTCAACRTCTCACAGCTTCAGCGAAAGTAGTTTGGCAGTTGGGCGCTCTCCACTGTCAAGTGCACGGCTCCAGTTTTTCTACGTGTTCTAATTTGCACATTTTTTTTAAATATTTCTAGAATCTTCACATTGATTAGTCTCTTTGGAAATTGACGATGATGTTTGGGCCACAAAGTGTCAAAATTTCACAGCTTTAACTCGAGCAGTTTGCCAGGTAAGGGGCCTTAGAGGCTCAAGTGCACAGCTCAATTTTGTCCAAGAGTTTCATTTTGGGAAGGAAAAAAAACATTTATAGAATGTTGACACGGTTGAATCTCTTGGGTAACTAACGTTGACATTTGGGCTACAAAACGTCCAAAGTTGACAGTTTCACCTGCAGTGGTTCGGCACTTGGGAGCTCTTCACTGGGAAGTGCTCCGCACGATTTGTGGTCAGAGTTTCAATTCGGGATTTTTTTAAAAATATTTTCAAAATCTTCAGATGGTTGAGTCTCGGAGGAAATTGACGCTGATGTTTGGACTACAACGTGTCAAAATTTGACGGCTTCAACTGTAGTAGTTTGGCAGTTGCAGGCTCTAAGCTGTCAAGTGCGGCGCTCGATACCCTTTAAGAGTTTCGGTTTGTGATTTTTTTAAAAATGTTTGTAGAATCCGCACATGGCTGAATCGCTTGGAGAATTATCATTGACTTTCAGGCTACAAAGCGTCAAAATTTGGCAGTTTCAGCTGCAGTGGTTTGGCAGTTGGGGGCTCTCCATTGTCAAGTGCGCCGCTGGCTTTTCTCAGCACGTTTCAGTTAAGGAATTTTTTAAAAACCGTTCCAGAATCTGCACACGGTTGAGTCTCACGGGCAATCGACATTGACGTTTGGGCTACAAAGTGTCAAAATCTGACACCTCCAACTGCCGCAGGTTGACAGTTGCGCGGCAAACTGTCAAAATGTGACCCCGAACCGCATAGGTAGATGGCGGTAGCTACTGACCGTGATCAGCGCCTTTTGGGCCACGGACAAACTGCACCGGCGGTGGGTGGACTTCAGGTGCACGATCGGGTACCAGTGGAAAATTAGCCGCAAAATCCCCAGCGTTGCCACATGGAAAATGAGGCACAGCCGCGCCCTCAACTCACTGAAGGTAAACCCTTGTATCTCCTTAAAAAAAAACCAGAACAAACATTGATTGGTGCAGTTGGGCCGCGGCCCAACTGCACCAATCGCTTACCATTTGATCATCTTCACCAAAATTAAGCAACTGAACGCCATCGGGATCGGCATTGGTGCAGATTTCCTGCTCGACCTTGACGGCTTTTGTCAAATTATCACCTGCAAAACCGGCAATTGAGTGGCTTTAGGGCGATTAGTCGAACCAGTTAGGATTAATAACGGCCAATCAAAATGCGCGCTCCCCTTCACCCACTGGCCCTAATTGGCCGGAAGACTGGCTGACGTCACTAGGGCAAGGCCGTTCGCGTTGGCTTCGTTTTCGGACTCAATGGTGCAGTTTGGCCAGGCCCAGCCGCCCAAACAAACGCGTTGCCATGGGCAACTCGGGCTTAATCGGCCCTGCCCGTTGGGCCTGGCCAGTCTGCACCAGTTTTACTGGGCCCATAACTCGCTTGATCCTGCTCCGATTGGAAAAAGCTTTTTACAAAAATTATTGAAAATTTCACGGGCTTTCCGCCAAGGCTTCCGCCTCCCGAATCGGGCCATCGGCTATGGAGTAATCGGCTGAACAATGCTGCGGTGTCCCAGTTAAAGTTAAGGGCGTCCGTGTTATTTTCCCTACTGCGCCCTTATTTCCAGTCTAATTGAATTGTGTTGTTAACAAAAAGTGACACGCTGTCAAAGGGCTTTTCGAGAGTGTTGCCGGTTTTTCAATCGGCCTAAGGGTCTGGACGGTATAAGACTGGGAAAGCTGATGTGTCAAGCTCCAAAGGGCGTCAGTATTATTTAGCGCACAGCACCCGCGTTTCTGGCCGAATTGATAAACTTCCTGACCCAAAACTGAAGGCAATTGACCGTGCTTTCCGAACCCGTTTTTAGGTTCCACATGGGCCCATAACCCACTGAGTTATGCGCCTCAGAAGGTAAATGAGTCAGGTTTTGAACGCGCCTTTGCTTTTTTCACTCAGGGCGTCCTTATTGGTGGCGGGAGCCAAAAATGTTTGTCACAAAAAAGCTGGCCAATCTAACGAGGTCTTGGACGCCGTTGCCACTTTTCGAATCGCCCGATAAACGTGAGAGTTATGGGCAGAAGAATGTTGCTGTGTCAAAGGGCGGCGTTGTCATTTTCCGCCCAGCGGCCCCATTTTGGGGCAAATTGAAAAACAGTTGACACAAAAAATGAAGCCAATTGCAAGGCCTTTCCGACGGAGCCTGCGCGTTTCAAATCGGCCCAGTAGGCAATGAGTTATGCGCTGCCGAAAGTCGATGAGTCAATTTTTAAGGGCGTCCCTGTTGTCTGTGGCATTACGGCCTTGTTCCAGCACGGATCAAAAATTTTCTGCAACCAAAAACGTGGAGAATCCAAAGGGCTTTAAGGTGGATTTTAAAAATTTGATATCCACCAATGGAATTTTGAGCTGTGCGCTACATAAGATCGGCGTGTCACATGCTAAGTGAACTTTCAAGGGCGTGCTTGTCATTTGTCGTATTCAGCCCGTAGGGTCGACGGCATCGAAAAATGTTTCGCACAAAAAACATGGAGAATTCCAAGTAGTTTTCGCAGGATTTTGGAATTTTGACATCCACCAATGCGCTATTGAGTTATAGGCGAAACAACGCTGGAGTGTCGCAGTTGAAAGGCGTCTTTGTTATTGTCTTGGTGGCGCTCTTCGGGTGGGGTTAATTGAAGTATTTTGTGACGCAAAAGTGACGGGCTGTCAATGCGCTTTGGCGCAGTGCGTTTGCCTTTTCAAGCACTGCGCTGGTGTCGCAGTGATGAGAGTTGAAACACTGCAGTGTCATCGTTCGGAAGGTGGCTTTGGATTTTTTAACACGCCCGCTGTGTTTTTCAGCTGATTGAAAAATGGTGGCAATGAAAAATTTAGCCAATTTACCGGGCGTTTCGAAACCGTCTTCAGGGCGAAAATGCGCCCAGAAACCACTGAGTTATGCGCCACAGAAGGCAAATGCGTCAGGTTT